CATAGGTGACTGGTCGCTGGCACGCCATTACAACAAACGCAATAACTATATAATGCGACCAACGTGTTTAAAAGTTAACTTTACAAGGCATAGCTCCTTCCATAGTCATTTTATTTAATTAAGTAATAATAAAGAAAGGTAAGAATGTTATATTCATCGGGGGCCGAATCTCGCATACGCACCACCAATATGCTATTCACATTCTACTCTTCAAGTTCTTTTATTCGATACCCATATCGTTGAAATTATTAAGAAAAACTTAATCGCGGTGCTTACCATATTCATTTTAAAATTAACCCATTTTTAGGCCGATCATATATCTTCATTCGGGGAATGTGCAAAATAGTTTTAAACATTCGGTCTTGTTTGCCTTAGGATAAGTATGCAAAACACCTCAAAAAAATTTAATTACTTGTCACTTTGTGTGGACATGGCCGATTGGTTCCATTTTTGGACCTAGAGAGTATTTTATTAAGTAAACGCGGAAAGTTGCAGTCTTCTAACTTTAATAATTTCCGTGTGACAAGGAAAAATCTAAAAATTTTTGTTAAAAAGAACTGAGTTGTGTTCAGTTTACGCTCCACTGCGTGCTTCTGCTCTGACCAATTTTGCTTTTTTTTTATATCAATCAGCGTTCAAAACCCTCCTATGTTTCAAACAAATTTGAAGTCAAACACACCACACAACCTTGTCGACTAATTTATAACAAAGGATTGATGTATATACCTTCATGCCTTCTAGAGGAGTTATAGATCCCACAGGTATCACCTGAAAAGCTCGAGTATCTCCGATACACCAATTCATGCAAATTCTGCCACAGGACAAGCGAAACTATGTGAATGGGAAGCCACCTGTAGAATCAGGCATCAAGTGTTTGTGGAACACTTCATAACGCCAGATACAATATACTACTCCGAGGCAAAGAACATGCTAGAGCTTATAAGAAGGCGAAAACTGGTGGGCTAGGAATATGGACTAGTGCAATAGATCTTTTGGGTCGTGGTAGGGACTGTCCACACATTAATAGTGGCAGAATTTTTCCTACACTCCAATATAAAAAACGAGATAAAATGACAAGAACTCGATTCTCTTCTAATGGCTAAAAGGCAATTACGTTCGGTTTTATGGTAAAGGTCTATATAAATATATAAATACGTTCCTTTTTCATTTAGTTTATAAAAAACTTTATGCATTTTAGTGCTGTCGTCGTTGATGTTGTAGTTAGTTGTTGCCATACTTTGTTGCGTTTGTTGTTGTTGTCGTTGTAATTAAAGGCACTAAACCCAGACACAAGTATAAGCGAGCGCTATATTATTTCATACCTTTTAAGTAAATCGACAAATCATGGCTTGAGTTGTTCAGGCGTTGTTGTTATTACCGTTGCGGTTGTCTTCGTCTGTTCGTGCTGGTGTTACTGTAGTATGTGACAGTGAAAGCTGCAAATTAACTGCTGGTGAATAGTTGTGCGTCTATTAATTTGGACTGAAAATTGCTTACGAAAAAGTCTACAAGCCATTAATGGGCGACAAAGATATCTTAAGAAATAATTTTGATTATTTGCTAAACAAAAGAGAAGATGAGGAAAAAGAAAATATTTGATGCGACTAATTGAAAAATTCGCAGAACAGATATTATCAAAAATAACATCATTCTTCGGCATAATCAATTAAGATGGAAAGTAATTTTTAAGAATTCATTCGAAATATTTATCTGCATCTGGTATAAATCCAAAATCGTTTTCTATTTCAAAGTTGTTTTTCTTCTACATTTTGACGCAGATGAAGAGAAGAAAAGATTATGATGGTTGATGGTGACGTTGTGAACGCTAGAACAATTTCTGGAGTAATTTCCTGCACTTCAGTCTTCGAATATTATCCGTGTAAGCAGGAAGAATAGGATAATGGATCTGAATAATCTACATAATGCCCTGCACATTGTTTTATTTAAAAACTTTAAAGGAAGTCACTTAAAATATATATTTTTGTTCAGTTTCGTTTGTCGCAATTTCAGATCGTAATGAAATTGGTATTAGAAGCCGATCCTATACGGCGATACTAAACTGTCGGATTATGTTTTATTTACGTGATTTTTATGTTACGCATTCAAAAGTTAGTTTCGATGCTTTATCCAAAATCCATTTCATTTAGGCTTTTCACAAATGTCTCCTTAAATTATATTCCAAAAAAAAAAACTCCGAGATTAAGAATGTTTAGAAAATAGAAAATTGACAACCGTGCAAATATATATAGAGATCACAATTAAAAAGGACAGGTGTTCGCCCTAAGCCTCTCATATAACATCAAGGTCTTTCAATGCTAGCTTCAGAAGCTATTGTCAACTTTACTAATTCTGGTATATTCGTATATAACGCATGAGTCCGTCTTAGCCGTTTATAGTGAGGCTAATTTTTCAGTGCAGCTATTTTCATGTTTTTTTATTTATTTTCAGAGGATATTCCCTATAACCCGGCAATGGTCAAAAAGAAGTGAACAAAGAGATAGGAAAAGAGGTGTCTTGCACTCACTGTGCATGTGTGTGCACTCACTGTAGCTACCACACTTGAGACTTGAATTCGCAAACACTAGCGATTCTTAGATTCTCGGTTACTTATTCTCGACTTATTTGTATTAGAATTGAATCTTGAAAATAACATTCTCCGCATTTGGAGTCTGTTGAACCCTTAGCGCGGTCTATTCAAAGCTCAAAGCAATGGTGAAACAATCTGGTAAAAAGCCTTTGCGCTAGAGCTGCCGCGCTATTATACGCTGTCTGTGGACAGTCTTTTCAAATTAATGGATTCTGTCTTATGTGCATAATTGTCAATCAAATTAAAGATTTAGTTAATATCCAACTACGACTAACGAGCGACTCTTCCGAATTTTTAACTTAATTACGACAAAGAGTTCTTACTTTAGTTGGTCAAACTTTTTCTACAATTACAACTCTAATAACTCAGTTCTTTACCTCAGCTAAGATCATCAGTTACTTCTTAGTTAGCGCTTTTTGATAGAAAGAAAGATTTGCATATGAATGCAATCGTTAACGAGTGTTAACCTCGTAACGATAATGTGTAGCGATAAACTTGAAAGGATCGATAATAAGAAACATCGAAACGTACTCATTGTTTTAAGTTGAAAAAAAATTATGTTGCTTTCGCGTATAATAAAAAAATGCATAAAAATTTTGATGTCAAAAATAAATTTAAAAAAAATTTATTCAAATGACTTTTCGTGACCCATTTACGGAAAAAGAAAAAACGAAAATGAAATAAAAATTTATTATTAATTTTTATAGCATAGAATAGCTATAATATAATAGCTTTTGCATATAAATTTTAAAATTAAATAAATATTTTATCATATTTCTTATAATTATTTAAATTTTGTTAAACAAATGTCTTTATATAGAACTTGAAAGAAAGTTTTTGAAAAGTTTTGAACACAAATTATTATCGTTATTGAAATGTTTCTCGTCTCATTTCACATTTTTTGCGAAATCAAATAAGTAAATTTCGATATTCATTCATTGTATTGTTATTGAAAATTTAGAAATTCATTGTTTCGAACCAATAAAACAGCATTACCCAGAAAAATTTAGAGAGATTATAACGGTCTACGGCGTACCATTAACTATCCTACTCTACCCTATAGTTATTCAGATAACGACTTTCCGAAATAACGCACTAACGGGGAAGTGATCGAATGAATGGTCCGATCGAGTCTTCGTGCTTGGACCAAAACATATCAGTTTGCAAAATTGCATCAAAATATCGTCAAAATTGCAAGACAATAGTAAATAAATTGGACAAAAGAAAACAAAAACCACAGATGGACAGACAAGCTTAGAATCATTGCAAGGTCACTTATTAAATTTCATCAAAATATTTGAAAAATTGCGGCCTGTAGCTTGACCACAAGAATACAAGATGAACAGACAACTGTAAAATCACATTCTGAATCGATCGGTATAATAATAGGCACATCTATCTCTCCTTATATAGCGCAAATGGTGTGGGGTATAATAAATTGAAAATAATACGCCTTTCAACTTTACAACGTTGATCAATCAAGCAAAGCTAACCATTCGATTCTTCATATCAGTTCGCTCTAAGTTCTTGAAAAAGCGCATCATGTTCTTAAAAAGGCCCGATCCAATTAGGCTCGTCCTAGGACTAAAACATGTTAATTTGCAAAATTTCATCAAAATATGTCAGCAAATTGAATAAAAGAAAACCAAACGAAAAGATGGACAGACAATTTTTTCAAAATATCGCACCTGTGTTCAATCTAGAACACAAATTCCATGGACAGACACCAAACGCAGAGGCGAATAGACAAGAAAGTAATCCTAAAACGATCGGTATAAGAAAGGGTGGACCTATCTCAAGTTCCTTTGGGTGTTGCATAACATCCGCACAAAACCTTATATACCCTTGCGATGTACCGCATTTGCATTTTGTTCGAAAAGTAACGCGCACTTTGCCTTTCCCTAGACAAGGCCTTTCAAATTTTCGGAAATTATATGAGCATCCGATTAGCGATACCACGTTTGGTCATTTGTTTGCGTAAGCTCAATTCAACAAACATGTGCCTTAGTTTAGACACCTCTGCGATTATGCTTGAAAACAATAATAACAAAATCACGTAAAATGGTTTTCTTACGCAACATATTCAAGTGATTTAATACTTTAATAAGACAATAAATTTAAAAATTCGTCTATATTAAGCAAACATACATACATATACCTAATAATGTTGAAATGTATTTATCTGTGGCTAATAGGCATAACCACATAACAACTATATTCAAATTAAAAATCTTGCGCTTTAAAACTGTATTTTGACAAAAGTTTAAAAGTTTGATGAGTTTTTTTACCCTAAACCCCTGATGGTATAAGGATGCATGCAGCATCCAGAAGGA